GATCAGCTACAGGTTTACATTCTAACAATACAGCAGCCCAAATGAGAAAGCCTTCCCTTAAAAGACTTGGAAATTAGTCTTACAGTCTGCTGGGCTTAAGTCAATTGGCAATCTCTAAAATTGGGCAGGCTTGGGTCATGAGGCCTCTTTGAATAGGGGCAAACTCCAGCCCCACTTTGATTGCAAATAAGAACTAGTGGTTCCCTAAAAGAAGATGGGGTACTATCTCCAGAAGAAGACTAATGGAAATGACAGATGTCCACATTATCAGTGGTGACCCACCAGCCAACGAACCAGAGCACTGTTGTCCTTTCTCTCCATTTTCACAGCAGCCAAAGGAACTTTAGAATCTTTTGAAAAACATTTTATGTCAGGTGTGGTGGCATACACCTTTAATCCCAGCCCTAGGGAGGTAGAGGCAGGCAGATCTCTGTTAGTTCAAGGCCAGCCTGGTTTACATAGTGAATTTCAGGCCAGCTGGGGCTACAGGGAGACCCTATCTCAAAAAGACCAATTTTTTTTTTTTAAATTTACTGTTTTTATTTCATGTGTGTGTGTTTTGCCTGCATGTATGTAAGGGCACCCGTGTCGTGCAATGCCTCACAGAGGCTGGAAGAGGTTGTCAGCTCCCCTGGAACTGGAGTTAGGGATGGTCAGTTGCTACCATGTGGGTGCTGGGAATCAAACCTGTGTCCTGTGCAAGAGCAGCTAGTGCTCTTAATCACTGAGCCATCTCTCCAGCCTCTGAACTTCTGACCTTGATAAGGTCTTCTGCTAAATGCCTTTCACCTGTCTCCATCCTTTCTTCAAGAGCTCTTCCTCACTCCTGCGTCAACTACATCTCCCTTATGATTATTCTTTTTGAATGGAATCCTATGTCATCTAATGCCAAGCCTAGGGCTGGTGGATGGCATACAGGCTCTGGGACTTGATTCACACTGAATTCCCTGTCCTCCCTAGGGTCATAGAGCCTGTACGTTCACTTAAAATTTTTTTTTCTGAGACAGGGTCGTAGAGCCCATACATTCACTTAAAATATTTTTTTTTTTTTCTGAGACAGGATCTTGCTTTGTAGCCGTGGCTGGCTTGATACTTGCTACATAGCCCAGGCTGGTCTTAAATGGCAATTCTCTTGCCTCAGCCTCTGGAATGCTGGGCTGGGATTATAGGCATGAGCCAGCACAATCACTCTATAACAGATGCTGTGTGACTTCTAGGCCCAGAACCACCACTGCTTCCTGATCCCTTGCATCCAGACAAACCCAGTTCCTTCTCGAGGTCCCCAGGAGCCCTCTGGGCCTGGTCTGGCCCTCATCTCCCTCTGCTACCCTGGGCCTGCACAACCCCTGGCCTCTCTCCTGGTCCCCAGGAGCCCTTGGGAGCCTCTTCCCACCCCCATCTCTCTTTGCATCTCTGGGTGGCATGGCCATCAGCTGCCCCAGACCAGCATCTTTTCTGGGCCCTGCTCCCAGGCCAGTCCAAGCCCCAAATTCCTGAGGACAACATATTTCCTGGAGGGATCCAGACCTGAGGAG